TAAGGCAGCTGTCTGTGCTGCTCTACACCTGATTTAGGTCAATACGGTTCCTTTGTTCAATCACAGTTATGATTGAACAGGAAGAAATAAATAAGAACACAAGCAATGTCGTATTAAGTCAGATTTGTGTTCAGCCTAGTCTTCTACTTCTGAAAAGCACATTAAGAACCATGTCATAGCGGAATATGGTTACTGCTCAAAGGTTTAAGAATAAAATATAAATATCCCTTGCTTCTTTTGCAATTCATTATAAGTCCATGATTCATGAAATAATTGAAACATTTCTTTTGAAGCCATTTAAATTTAATACCATTACTCATTTATTCATCCATCCCTTCATTCAGTGAGCACCCACAGAGCATATGCTATATGCAAAGCACTCTGCTCATGCATAGAGCTCAAAGACCTTAGCCAGATTTCACCAGTTTCTACATGCACTTGTATGTGTGTGTATGTGTACTGCCATTCAATTTTATCACATGTATACATTTGTGTAACCACCACCGCAATCAGGATACAGAACTGGTCCATCACTATTAAGATCTCCCACCTGCTATCCTCTACGTCACATAAACACCTGTACACTTCCTCCCCACCCCCAGCAATCCCCTCCTCATTCTCAAACCCTGGAAACTATTAATTAATTTGTTCTCTACCTCTAGAATTTTGTCACTTTGAGAATACTACATAAATGGAATCATACAGCATGTAGCTTTTTGGGATTGGCTATTCTTCACTCAGTATAATGCCCTTGAGATCTAAGTCATTGCATGTATTCGTACTTTGTTCGTTTTCATTGTTGAATAGTGTTTCATTGTGTGGATGTACCACAGTTTATTAAAGCAGTCAGCACCAAAGGACATTTTTGTCATTTCCAGTTTGGGGCTATTACATATAAAGCTGTTATGAACATTCATGTTTTTGAGTGGACACATATTTTAATTTCTCTGAGATCAACGACCAGGAGTCCAATTACTGGATCATATAGTAAGTGCATGTTTAGTTTTATAGGACATTGCCAAAGTATTCTCCAGATGGTTCAGCTTCCCACCAGCAATGCATGCTTTTTCTGCATCCTCATCAGCAGTTAGTATTGCCACTATTTTTTTTATTTTAGCATGTATTATAGGTATGTAATTATACCTCACTGTGGTTTTAATTTGCATTTCTCTAATGGTTAATTACAGTGAACATTTTTTCATGTGCTTATTTTCCATCTATATATCTTCTCTGATAAAATGTCTGCTTATGTCTTTGCCCATTTCTAACTGAAATGTTTATTTGTTTTACTATCGAGTTTTTTTTTTTTTACTTCAAAGTATTAGGGGGTACAAATGTTTTTGGTTACATGGATAGTTTTTGTAATGCTTGAGTCACAGTTAGAAGTATCCCTGCCACCCAGATAGTGTTCATTGTACCTATTAGGTAGGTTTTTACCCATTCCCTTCCCCTTGCTTGATTTCCATCAAGATTTACTTCCCTCTGTGCTCATGTGTGCTCACCAGTTAGTTCCAATTTAATAGAGAGTACATGTGGTGTTTGTTTTTCCATTCTTCAGATACTTCACTTAGGATAATGGTCTCCAGTTCCACCCAAATTGTTGCAAAAGGCATTAAGTCATCTTTCTTCATGGCTGAGTTTTGAGAGTTCTTTATATATTCTAGATACTAGTCATTTGCCAGATACATGTTCTGCAAATATTTTCTTTCAATTTATCCTGTTTAGGGTTTACAAAACATCTTGAAACTGTGGTTTGATGTCCTTTGTCAGTTTGCAGGATTCTTAGGCATTATCTCTTTGAATATTGTGGAACTCTAATTTACAATAGAAATTTTTCACCGAGTCTCAAATGTTTTCTAGCTCTTTTCTATATTTTTCCATCACCTTTTCTCTTTCTGAGCTTCAATTTGTAAATTTTCTATTGTCTAGTTCTTTAATTCTTTCTTCTGCTCATAAAATCATCTATTAATTTCTTAGTTTTAGTTACTTGTATATTTTGTTCTAAAATTTCCATTTGATTCATTACTATAGATTCCCGTTCTCTGAAGAAACTATGCATCTTTTAGTTTATTTTTACATATTTATCATAATTATCTTAAAGCCAGTGTCCAATAACTCCAATATCTGGATAATCTGAGTCTGTGTCATTTATTTGTTTTATTTAACCTCATATGACCCTGTCTCCTGGAATAACTAGTAATTTTTTATTGATTGCAAATAAGACATTGTGCATGAAAGTTTGTAGAGGCTCTTAATGATTTTGTCTTCTTCCAAAGAATATTTAACTTTCTTTTGTTAGGCAGTTAGAATATAGTCAGATAAACTTCCTCTAAACAGGGATTAAGAATGTTTCAGGCTGGATTTTAGGCTCTGTGTGAGCTAGACTATTTCTGTTTGCTCCTGTACCTAGGGCATCTCAGAGCTCTCCTTGACAAGGTCTCAACTCCAAATTTTTTCTCTCCTGTTATGAGACTCCTAAAATCACTGTTTGGCTTTTTAATCTCTTGGAAGTGATTTTCTACTTGTTTTCTTGGCCACTGGTCCTGAGAATGCATAGTTTAGTAATTAGCAAGTATCTTAAAAGAAAATCATAGGCAAAGAATCAAGCTCATTGTTTGTGATTTCCATTTCCCTTGGATCTTGGTCCCTCAAGTCTTGGATGCCTTGGAAGGCCTGAACTCTAATTTTTGTCTTCACAGCAGTGAGACTAAAGCAAGCTCTAGGTTGCTGTTCTCCACTCTGCTTCTGTTTCTTTTACTGAGAATTTGGCAATTTCTCTGAGAGGAAGAAATATATATATACTATATATATATATATATATATATATATATATATATGTATGTATATATGTGTATATGTATATATGGCTTACTTCAATGTGTCTTTCTTCTTTCTAGGATTGGACCCCTCAAGTCCTTGTTGCCACTATCTTATGCCTTCAAATAAGTGATTTTTAGAAGTATTTTATCCAGTTTTTTGTATTTAAATGAATCTTGTCAAAGCTCAACTCCAATAAAGTTAGAAAAAATTCAGTGATATGTCCCTGCCCAACAATTCTTATCAAGAGGTCAAGATTTGTCTCCATCATGGCCAGGAAGATCACTTTTTAAGGTTCTTTAACTAAGTAGATTCAGCTCCCAATGATAGACCTAGGGCTCATGGGATCCGTTGCTGGGGAAACCTTGCTGTCTGGACCTCTCACACATACACCAAAAATTTACCCTTGGTGGTTCCGATGGGCACCAATTTGGAGGTATTTTCTTACAGTGTTATGTGCCCTCTTGGCTACTGTTGCTTTTGATGAGGATAATTCAAGACACCCATACTCACTACTAAATGGATTATTGGAAGATGACCTTCTAGTTCACTCATTGCTACCAGGAAGGCTAGAATGACTCACATTAACTTTCATTTGGAAAGTACAGGAGTATCTCCAGTTTACCTGGCTGTATTGGAAATGCGTGAATTAAATCTATAGCTTTCCCTGTCAGTCCTTTCAAAAATCCTTTGGAGTTTTCCTGAAACTATCAGCCATATAATGCAGCCTATGATTGACAAGTCCTTTTTGTTGGACAGGCTCAACAAAATGCCTCCTTCTGCCCAGCAGCCCCTCTTTCTCTGGTTATCCACTTACAATAATTGCAGACGACTTGAATACCTTCTTTGGTTCATACTGGATCCCTGGAAAAACCAGGTCTTTATTTAGGGAACCTGGAAAGAAGTCATCAACACATGCAATACTCTTGTCTTGGTAGCCTCAGGCCACCACTAACATCACAACTTTCTGATTTTATTATGTATAAGAACTGGGAATGCAAAGTTTAGTGATAGAAGGACCACTGGGCCCTGAAACTGTATCAGATACTGTAGCGCCGATAAAATCCAGCTATGTACGCTAGCAAAGCATTCAGTTTGGATCCCTACATGTTTAATTATATATAATTGGATCTCAACTTGATTCACTCCATGGATTTTTGTGTTCTGGCTCTTTCATGAACAACGGTGCTATTTTTTCATCTATTGCTCACCTACAGCTCATCTTCCTCCTTCTCCAGTCCACAGCACTAGCTATCCTGGGGACACTTGCTCACATTTTCTTTGATCGTCAATTCACTATGTTCTAGATCCATTCCACAATGACCCTGTCATGCCCAGTGTTTGACATACACAGCATTTTGTGATCCTCCTTCAATTTATTTCTCTCTACTTCATATTTGATTACTAAGATGATTAACTTTGCATAACTTTGTTTAAATCATTTATAAAATGATCTAGTCTCTATCATCATTCTCCTTCCAACATGAAATATTCCTCTCAATTATGGCAATTCATTTTTAAAATAAATTTTGGTAGAATCCTATCTAAGAGTTTTTGAAAATGTATACAAACTTTGTTCAACAATTTCTCTTCAGCCACATTTTTATTAAACTGATTTAATGACCCTCACTGATTGCTCAGTAAGATTCCCTTTACAATAATAAGACACTATAAAAGGGATTATCTTTCTTAAATAGTCAGTAGTTGCGTGCAGTGTCAAGGTGTCCTCCCTTTTCCTAGGTGAGCAGGTAAGCCCTGACTGCTTGAATTTCCTGGAGTCTCCTCAGGAGCCCAATCTATGCAAGGACCCACCAGTCTTCTGGTATGGTGATCACGGTAAACCAGATTTCCCAGTCTAGCCACCTTCCTGGTAGTTTTCCCCTTGGGGCTGTCCCACGAGTTAAAATGAATCTTATTCTATGTTAGCAATTTTTCTACACCGAGGTCATAGATTCAGTCTAGAATGTCCTGGGTATTTGTCACTGTTTGCTCTAATACCTCTTACTTGTCTACATTGAAAATTTTGGCAGACTCTCCTAAAAGTCATTCTCACCCCACAGCAGTTAATTCAGTGAGTAAAATTATTTTTTTCTCTTTCTTTCTTTTTTCCCCAAACTCACTTTCACAAACTTCCTCCAGACCTCCTTGTCTTTTCTACCATATTTGTCCTTCATTTCACTTACCCAGGTGACTGATGGCCTCCTTGTCCCAAGGCCAGGTGGCTGCACCTGCAAGGTCCTCCCGCACGGAGCTGGCGAAGTAGACATTGAGGAAGTGCGTGCTGTTCAGCTGCAGGGCCTCCTTCAGCTCCTTCACACTCATGTAGGCCCTGGAGAGCAGGCAGGAAGATAAAACGTCACACCAGGGAACTGGCCCTTAGAGGACAGCAGAGCCAGACCTAAGCAGACTCTGACGACACTCTCAGCCAGCACTGCCTTTTGGAGGGACAGAGATGCAGAGGTCAGACTGTCCTGAAGACCAGGAAAAAAGGCAACGGTGTACATCCAAGATAAATAGTATCTGGACTTTTTAAAACACTATAATATTTGTATGAATACTCCGTATTAGACATCATACTCAATTCCCCAATCCACACCCTGATTATTTCTTCAACATAAATCCAATGCTACTGCTAATGTTTTGCCTTGAGAATTATCCTCAGGCCATGGTGAAGAAGACCTTCCAACTCTCAGTCTCTGTTTTTTTTTCCATCACATTGTGGGATCCTTATTACGGGAGCAGGTCCCCTGGAATCTCCATCTCAGCACATGCTTACTTCAAGCATTATTTTTTAAAAGAAAAGGGGAAATAGCAAACATCAAGTGAAAGAGGAAAAAATGAGATGGGTCATAGGTAGGGAAGAACACCCTAAAGCTACTGCAAAGAATGGTGACTGTATATACTGTCATGGTAGGCCCTTAATCCACAGAAACTCCACCCCTACTGCTACACCTCAGGACACTCACCAAGTGTCTTTATTGGTGTCCGTCAAAGCACCAGGCAATATTATGTTTGCACTGAAGCACGGAATTTAAGATCTATTAAAAACACATGCCCTGCGGCCTATAAAAAAGGAAACGAGCATTTGGTCTCTTTATAAACTCACATACGGTCAAAGACCTTTAGCTTCCTGGCATCAGTGAAACTTAAGACTTTACCACGAGAAAATAGAGCCTTAATATTCTCACTGAAGAGTTGTTTTAAAAAGGAACAACTCAACCAGAGCTCAGTGGTCCCTTAGACTGGATGCTTCCCACAGTGGCCATGTTCTGCATTCCAGAGAGGCGTGTTCCTGTTACAGCTTCAGCTGAGCAGACAGCCCTCTCAACACAGGCTGGAAATTTCCCTCACAGATTCTGCTTCATTGTGGCTGGTCATCTCTCAGCTCAGACACTCTCACGTCAGGACCGGGTGACCCTTCTCCTCTCCATGCTCTTCTACTGATGCCGCCTGTTTCATCCTCGTGCAGGAAGTGCAGACAAAAAGCACCTGAGTACCAGGGATTCCAAACATTGCTTTGTATTCTTCGGAACAGGACCAAAAAAGGGAATGAAAGTAAAGAAGCAAAAATGATCTTGCTTTAGAATCATCAAAAATCCTTGGGAGAAAAGGGCTTTTAAAGTACTATTTTTACTGATTTATAGCATCTTGGAAAAGTAGTTCTCGGTTACAAGAAATCATCCGAACTCCATGAAGTGATGTCATATGTGATCAGAGGGATATTCCTTCTGCTGCTTTCCTGAAGACACATTGTTTTTTGAACGGTTGCCTGGTTCTTCCTAGACATTAGTCACATCCCCTTTCCCTTTCTCCTTTATTAGAAATAACCATCATTTTCTTCATTGACAAATTGATGGTTTGGGGACGATGATGACATCAAGTAACTCCTCAACAGGGAGATGTTTCAATAAGCCAGAAGAAAGAGAGAGGAAGAGGAAGGGGAAAGAAGAAAAGAGAGGCAAAGGGACAAGAGAGAATTAGAGACTGAGCCTACCTGCCCTCAGCTCCAGGTACCAAGCAAGAAAAGTCTTGCCCTTTCTCTGTTCCTAGTCCAGGGTTCCAGTTAAAATTGGGAGTTGGTAACTTGACAATATTCTCCCTTCTCCTCCTGCACTTTCCCAATCCCCTGTCCCTGGCATGGTTTCCTTGTGCTATCTGTGTGTTTCTGGCTTCTCTGCCTGCCTTTTACCAGCCTTGGCCACCATCCTCTGTCCTCCCTCAACCCAGCAGTTCCACTAATTTCCCTTGAGCACCCGCCAAGAGGCCTCCTCCCCTACCACCAACCTCATTAGCTGGTTCTACTCATCCCCCTTTTCTTCCTTGCCCAGTCCTTTCTCTAGCCATAAATTATCCTTCCAGAAGAGAGAATTTATGTCATGCAAACTGGGTGTGGTTGCTCAGACTCCTGCACTCCACAGAGATACAGACAGAAGTCAGCAAGTATAAGGGAAAGAATGTATTTCAAAATGCTGCAGAGAGTCATTCATTGAACGGATAAAGGGAAGACTTGTTTTGCTGGAAACAAAGACTGGTGTCCTGATCATTCCCTAAACCAAAGAGGGTAAAAGCATCGAGGTGTTTGCCTTCCATGCAGAATACCCTGCCTGTTACAACACATGTGTACCCTTTCACAGGTTAATCAGAGCTAATGAAGATAAATGTCTTAGCTTCTCTACTAATATGACCAGAGCCTGGTTCACACTTAGCATAGGGAAAGATGAATAAAGATGGTAAGCTCTGAACCATCTTCTTTAAGAAATGATGTATTAAGAGACAGACTTGTCATCCAAATGAGCTTAATATTCAAGAGAAGGTAAAATGCCATACAGAAAGGCAGTAAAATGCATAATAAGGTCATGCACATGACCAGAACTATAGGTTAAAAAGAGATGAACTGCATTATTATTCTGATTGATTTCTGCCAAAATCAACCTTTGCTTATACTCTCCACACTCTAGGTAGAGATACTTATACACATGTCTCCCTGATGGATTTGGACAGACAGAAGTAAAGTTTTGTCTTGATTTCTATAAAAATTGTTTCAGAAACAGGCACTACTCGAGGCTGACATACCAAGATGTTCTGCCGCATTGCTCAAACCCGTTATTTCCGACATGCCCTCTGGAAGAACACAAACCTGCTTTTCCATCTTGTGACTGTGACCTACTGGTTTGGGAATAGCCATCGCCTGGTTTCCAGTCCACTGTGACTCATCATCCCCAGACTTGGTGCATTCATGCTGGTTTCTGCCATGCCCCCTGACTGCCAACCCCCAGGCAGACCCAAACTCCAACTATTGCTTAGTTCCTGACGAAGTAAAATAAAAGGGTATAAAGAATGACTGTGCCCTATTTTATTAGGCAGTTAAATAACTCCATTATAGAAACAATAATCCAAGAAGGAATCCAGAAAAAAGAAAAAGATCCTGAGCCGTATGAGGGTAGTTGAACAAGTATCAAAAATTGGCACGCTGAAAAACAAGGCATCAGGCTGGATGTGCACCCTGAGATTGGGAGCCACAGCCCCACTTCCCACAGAGTGAGGCAGCCTCCAGGAGGATGAAAACAGAGGCCCCCAAAGACCCTCAGCCAGTTCCCTTCACTGAAACAATTTGTGCCAAAGCTAGAATATTTTAGGGGTTTGTTTAAACCCAAACGTTTCTGCCATTGCTGAAAAACATGGCTCTCTACCCAAGATACACAGAAGGGATCCCTGCCATCCCAACCCCCACCCCATCTGCCACTGTACTTCCTCTTCCTGGGGAATGTCACCTTTGACCTGCTCCCAGCCCTTTCACCTGTCCACACTTGGGGTGTGGAGGCCCCAAGAGCACCAACTAGAATTCTCCCAGCCACCCAACACAATTTCAAAACTTAGCCTTCTCTCCTCCTGTCCTCACCTGAGGAAATTTTAACACTTAGGTGACATTTCCACCGAAGACACAGTCTTATTCCTAAGGTCTTTACCTCTGAGGACCTTTGCCTCATCCCACTTTGGCCATCCATTCTCATTATCACCCTTGCTCAGACTTGTTTTTTAATTTCTGATCTCATGCAGATCTTCATTTCACCCGTCTGTACTTTCACTTGTTTATAGTCATCTCCTATCCAGGGATCATTCAAAATTTTCAGTATTCTCCTATCCCCCTCACCTCAATGTCTTACTCCCTTGACTCCTAGTAGATGATCGTACCCCCTTCTTTGATGGTAAAGTGGAGGCCATTAATCATGAACCCTATCACTCTCCCTCTCCCTCTTTCTCTCCCTCTCTCTCTCTCTCTCTCTCTCACTTAAACTTATTTATCTTCTTTCCTATTTTTATTCTTTCCCCTTGTCCCACAGGATGAGGCTTTCTGAGCAAATCATAGCTAACACCCTTAATTTTTCCTTCTTCGTTTCCAATTCAAACTTCTTAAAAGAATAATTTCCCCATCTCCCATTCACTTTTTTTTCCATGTACCTCCTAATACCATTATAACATGGCTTTCATCTGCACCAATTTATCGAAATTGCTTTCATTAAAGTTGTCATTGACCTCTTGATTTTCCCTGCTCACAAAATAAAAAAAAAATTCAGTCATTCTTCTATTGGAAACTTTTGCTCCTTTATATATCATTAGTTACTGCTTCCTTCTTAAAATTCTATACTTCTTTTGCTTTGATTACAACACTCTTTCCTGGTTCTCCTCCTGTTTTTGAGACTGCTGATTGTCACTCTCTTTGTAGGTTCCTCTTTCCCCTTCTAATTCTTAAAAGTTATTCTTCAGGGTTCTGTTGGTGGCCCATTCTTTTCTTACTCTCCATGTTCACCATCACTATTTGGATAACTCCCAAATATATAAATGTATCTAGTCCTGCCTCTCCTCCAAAATTAGATTCTTGTTTCTTTCTAGCAATTCAATATCTCTACCTGGTTTTCCACAGACATCTTGAAGTCAACATGTCAATGTGGTGGGTGGTTCTACCTGAGCTCAAAAGAAATCAGACATAGTGAATTTCAGTGCATCCGACATAGTGGGCCAGCTGGTGAATCTCTGGACATCTTTTTCCATGAGAAGATTTGCAGAAGAGTTGAGTTTTGGTTAAATACAGAGGACATGTGTACCTGTGTCTATGGAAAGATAAAAGAAAAAAAATCAAGGACAAGGGAAAGAATACATTGGCATTTTGTCCCATACCTAATTTTACAAATTGGATTTTGAGCTTCTTAGGAAGAAACTAAAAGAACTTTTCATAAAAAAAAAAAAAAAGTTGTGGATTCCAAGACACACAAGGAATTTTGCGTTAAAGCTTAATAATAAAATGTAGCACCAATTGAGGATAAAGGCTAC